TGCTTGAGCTAGCGGCCTGTGGGCAATTTCTTGCCCAGTGTCCAATCTGACCACACCATCTGCAGCGTGACTTCTTTTGAATGTTTGTCAACTCCCGTGTGAATTGTTTCTTCGCAGTGGTGGCCTGTTTGAACTTTCTGGCCTTCTGCAGCTTTGAGATCTCGGATCTCCTCTCCAGGTCGCCGCCAACACTTCGGCAATCTCCTCTTCATCGTACACCTCAGTTGAACTGTTTGTGGATGTAGCATCATGAAAGCCATGCTCTGTCAAAAATGCTTCCAACTCTTCAAAAACAACGCTATCAGGCCCTTCCGCTTCTTGAGCTGGCCCCGACTCCGGTTCGTCCTCTGACCAGTCGTGTTGGACCACATATGTTTCCTGAAGCAACTTCTCATTGCAGCTGTAATGCTATCCGTCTTCAAATCACCCTGAGTCTTTGCTGTCGCGATTGCTCGTTGGTCAGCTGATAACCCTGAGGAGTTCAGACATACCCAACCCTGTGCTCCGGGTGGGAAATCCACCGACACTTTCCTCCGACAATTGGCGAAGGCTTCCTGGACTCTTGAGCACCATGCCACCACGGTCTCACCCTTCTGGGCATGCAGCTCGAAGACTTCCTTGAGACATTCAGCCATGTGGTCGTGGGCCAGTTTGTCTGGAAATCTATCATCAAGGCACTTCCAAATGTGTTTGTCCCCGTTCTCTTCACGAAGTTGGTCCAATGTCAAATGTTCGACAGTTTCCAGAGCCAGTCCTTCAAGAAGGCAAAACACGTAGGGGCCTCGATGCGTCGGAGTCACGTCTTTGGTGGAGGCCATCTTGGCCAAAGCCCAGAGGCGCCACCGCCTGTACTCTTTGGGGTCCAAACTCTCCCCACTCAATCGACGTTGTCCCATTCACGACCCATCCGAGCTAGCGGCCATGGCACCTACACCCAAAAACTATATATACACTAGACACCGCTTTCAGCGTTCAACCTTCCTAAGGCCTAACTACCCCGGATGCCCTCCTATCGGAGGAGGGCTCCGCTACCAATGTTGAAACCGCGAATCGATTCGATCCGCCCGAGAGCTGCTGCTCTCCCCCTACCGGCGGCCTTTTCCGCGCCCGATCCTCGAGCAAAGGTTGCCTCCGGTCCGACCTATACTGCATACCTGTCGTGACACTGCTTTCACATATATATATACCTACCACATGTATATATATATATATGTATGTAATATCTAATAACTTTAACAACCCGCAGCTCATCCTGGTGCGTGTTTTCCTCGGTCATGTACAGAAACACTTCTAGCAATGCATAGGGCGAGAAAGTTCTATAATGGTAAACTCTGTCTCAACACATTGCGCACAAAGCGACAACCCCCTTTGTTCTTGCATAGTTTTTCAAAAGAGTATGTTGAAACCAAACATGCGTGTTGGGCGGCAGGTCCACATGTATATACCCTAAAGATTCCCCAAACTATTCCAAAAGATCCCCAGTAACAGTAACAGGTGTTGCTGCAACATGTTTTTTACTGACTACACAGTATCCTGCGCGTAAAGGACCAGGTGCTCGCAAAGGCATCTGCAGCTTTACACCCGTGTTCATGTGGAACACCCCTTTGTGATCACTCCCCTACTTTGGGAGCGCTATTCAGAGCCTACGCCGCGAGAAAGGGGCTCTGCAGGTAGCGCCTCCTCCGCCTCGACCACTCCTGCTCTTCATAACGAATGTGAAGAATGCAAGGACCGTTTGGGCCCACAGCTCAGCCATCTCAATCAACATGGCGAAGACCTGCACCGGCAAAGCTGGAAAAGTCGATTCAAATGATTGGTCATTCGAGTCATTTGTATCCAGGTTGAGATCTCCATCAATGATAACGTTCTTATGCTCAAGAGATATACGTCTCGCAAAATGGGAATCCCGGTGAGGGAACCCAGTCTATGCTTGGAGTGGTTGCTCTTGAATGCTTTCAGCTTGAGTAGTTGGCCTCCCCTCATTAACATGTTGAGTGGATTTGGTGTCGCGTGAGCCGCTACAATCACTAGAGCCTGCTAAAACAACTTGGATTTCGTCTCTTGAGATCGGCCTCTAATTTAGGAAAGGGTGAGTTCTTTTGGTCCTTGACTAAAGGATTCAACAGGAAACTGCAAAGCAATCGAAGACAATGGACGAAACAATGCAAAAATTGTTTTGAAAGGCACTTTTGACCCGCTGAGAACAAATTTGTTGAGAATGGACAGATAGCAAGCAAACGCAATTAAGGTTTGATTCGATATCAAGCTGGCGGTGTGTCGAGCCTTCCATTCAAGCCCAGTTTGCTACACCGAGGTGGAGGATATGATTCTTGTGTATCAAGGCTGGAATTTGCTTTGACATGCTTCTTCCTTTTGGAAGAAGAGCAAGCAAGGGAAAGAGCAGGCAAGTTTTGGCTGTTAAGGCTAGCATCATTTGGACAGGGTCGAGTCATACACATAAGTCATTGCGCTTTAAGTACAACAATTCTTGCCTGGCTAGTACGTGTATATATAGGGCATCATAGAGTTGTTGTCACAGCAGCTAAGCGGCTAGGGTATGCTCAGTCGGGATATATGGTTTGGTCCGGTCCATACTTCCTAAGTTGTCGCATGCGTGTTCCGATGCCAGTCTTAAACGCTTTATTCGTTGTTTTCATGTCCATCTTGAGCCTGATCATGGAGTGACAGGAGAAGAATTGAAGAATGACACACAAATCAAGCAGAGCATCTTATCTGCACTTGGCCCTCTATATGTCAGCATCCCCAAAGCTGCAGGCCAAAGTAGGTGCCTTGCACCTTCCCTCGCTTTCAACCTGCAAAGGTCGCAATGAAGCCTCATACCCATAGCATTTAGATAGAAAATAGCACACTGTGCACACGCAGGGCGGCTGCTGACTGAAGTCGCTTGCAAAGAAAAAGGGTCCTGGCACTGATTTGGTATCAGGCCATGGCTTAAGATGTGTTACGCTTACGCACTTACGTTTGCCTACGTTTTAAAGGGTTACATTGTTAGAGGCGGACAAGTTTGCTAATAGCATGTTAGACTGCTGGGACCATCCGATCCAGTGGAGAAGATCCAGCTGGTAGTTGGTGGTATGTTGAGAGCCTTGTATGATTTTTTGCTGAAGTTGCCAAGCCTAAGTACGCGTCAGCAATTGCCCCACAAGTAGTATTGTCATAGAGCACAAGATAGTATGGCGAGTAGAATGACGCGCAAAGGTACAACAGCCGGATTGACAAGGAACCCCCCTTCCGGAACTGTTGACCGGTTCGTCATTTGTTCCGCTCTGCTTTCAGAAAGCATGACTATAAAGGATTGCCACTACTGCCACCTATGAGTGTAGATAGTGCGTGGCAAAAAGTGCCGCGTCGCAGCAGGCAAACTGGACTTTGTGATTCAGAAGGCTGTTCTTTGCAGCAAGCTCACACAACCTGAAACATACAAGTGAGATGTGAAAGGGCAGTGCTGCGCTCGATACAGGATGCCAAGAAACAAATCGATAAGATAAAAGACATGTATTAAAAGAAATATGATATTTCAGTGCAGCTTGTGCCTTTTCCGATGTAGAGGGGTCAAGCTGCATAGGCTTGGAATTGCAAGAGTACTTTCACCGTAAGTCAGTCCATGAGTTGCTCCCTCGCTTCCTTGCAATGTGCTGCAGGCGGCAGAGACCGAACCTTCTGCGGAAGACTGCACCATCCACCTCATTGACATCAAGGAGATGGGCTTTTGTTGAAATTCCTCAAGCGACATAGGTCCGCCATGGTCTAGTTCTGTAGAATTCCAGTTGTTTGCTTCATAGAGATTGGGGATGTATGAGCTCAAAAAATGGTGTGTTGATGCGTGGACAGTCAGAGGACACTCCTGCAGACATCCGTGAGCCCAAGGTCCCTGCACCCGACGCCACACAGGGATCATTTTGATCGGGCACTGGGCCAAAGCAAACGGTGACAGATACAGACTGACAACCACAAGACTAACAAGGCACGCAACGCAGACAGACACACTCTTCATCCGAGCATTAGAGCTGCGCCATTCAATACTGTAAATCTCTCTTTGCGAGATCATTTGTCAAACACAACAGCCATAGCGCCAAGTAATGCAGGGTGGCACACGCAAGCGTGTTTTTTCGTCCGTCTCACCTTTCAAGCTTTGCAAATTGCAGAGCGTTGCAACTTGGAATGCTCCAACGTGAAGCTGAAAAACAATGAAAGAGTGCAGATCCAGACAGATCCAGTCTTTGATGGTTGCTATCAGGAGTTCTCAACACTAGCGAAGATTGGACACCATCAGAAACTTAAAACGCTTCAAGCCAAGCTCCAACAATTTGACACTTAGAGTGGCTTTCAGGAGTGCAGAGTAGTCCTATGTAGTCTTGATTCGTGGCATCTAAAAGTCCCTGAAGCCTGGGAGAGGGTTGTCTCAAAAACTGGCTTCGTGTTGGCCGGTGCATTTGTTCAGGCTAGGTCAGGTGAAGATGTATGGCACAAACTACATAAGCATATACATGTAGTGTATATATATATAAACCAAACTTAAATACAGTTGTTTTCTAACGCCTGGATTAGAATGGGCTGCCGTGGGTCAAAAACGGATTGCGTTCATATCGATGATTCGAAAATTGCTGCTTGGCAGAATTGGGTGGAATTTGCTTGCATCACAATGTCGCTAACTTGGGAATGTCGTGAATGCCAATTTATATATATAACATGGTTGCAGCACAAAATTCATTCTAAGGAGAATGGATCTGTGGAGGTGGAACACAGCTTTCGCCACAGACGGAAGGTTGGTGTCTCAGGACCACAGCAATTGGCAAATCGAGGCCAAATCAGATTGCGATGCCTCTGAACAAAAAGAGCAAACAAAAATATAAATACAGTGTATAATGAATAAGATTATGATATAATAAAGAAAACAGAAAACGATTTAGAAAAGAAGCTGGGCCCAAATCCTTAACGTGTTATTGTTATTTTTTTTATGCATCATCATGCAACTGCATATGCTATGCCCCATTCTGTGGAGATTTGCTGAGGTCCTGGACCGGGAGACTGGCAAAGTGTTCGAAGAAGTCATACCCGGCCCAGTGTGGTCAATCTTGAAGGGATTGCGCCTCGACTCCAGATTGAACCTTTTGGAATGCTGTACCGCTGAATCTCTAAACCAGCCAATGCCTATCAAACAGTCCAAAATGGTATCCATGGCTGGTTGGGTACCACTGACTTACACTCCAGACCTGCTTCAAATACATATTATCAGCAATTTTTTTAAATCAGACTCTGGATAAAAATTGACTCTGGG